GTTTGTAAGCCGCTCTGAGACGCTGAGTGAAGGGCAGGGTATACATCCAATCTCCTCCTCATCTTCTTCCTCGTGGTAATGACAGCAGTGCTGAAGGGCAGAGAACCTTAACAAGAACTAAAGGGAGGAATTGAGCCTGTCAGAGCACTGAGGCAGCCTACAAGAGGGAAGGTGCTCTCCGTCTCGCTGCCCTTACCCTCTCAAATGCATAGCTCCCCTGCTCCTCTCATACAGTGCAAGCCAAGAGAGAATGATGTTTTTTGACTTATATTTGCAATACAAATAGAATCACAGAGTTGGAAGGGGCCACAGAGGCCACCCAGCCCAACCCCCTGCTCAAAGCAGGATCAGCCTAGAGCAGTGGTGGCGAACCTATGGCACGGGTGCCAGAGGTGGCACTCAGAGCCCTCTCTGCGGGCACGCGTGCCATCGCCCCAGCCAGGCCCAGACCATCATTAAAGTGTCGAATTCTCTGCCAAATAATTTTAAGTCAATGAAAGCATTTGGGATTGCTTTCCTCACTTTGTTTGGATCATCTTAAGTTAATGTATGAGTTGTTTTTTCTAAAGTAAAACCTCAGTATTCAGGTTAAATTGCCGTATTGGCACTTTGCGATAAATAAGTGGGTTTTGGGTCGCAGTTTGGGCACTCGGTCTCTAAAAGGTTCGCCATCACTGGCCTAGAGCATCCCGGGCAGTGTTGGTCCAGCCGCTACTTAAAGACTGCCAGTGACTACCAGCTGCATCTCCTTTCTCTTCACTCAGTTGCAACCAGGGGTCATTTCGTAGAAAAAGAGGTGCCGGGGCTCATGTGCATAGTTCATTTGCATATGCCACACCCCCTGCCACGTGCCTGGGTTCTCTGGGCAGGGAATTGGGCAGGGAATTGGGCAGGGAACCCACGCAGGATTAAAATGCCTTTCTTTCCCTTCCCCATCTGGCGGCTGGGCCAGGAAAGGCGGTGGCGTCCCCCTGGGCTCCTTACTGCTAGAGTGCCATTCCGGCACAATCCAGCAGGAAATTACTCATGGGCTAGATAAATATTTGTCAGAGATGCTCTAGGCTGATGCTGCATTGGGCAGGGGGTTGGACTAGATCAATTCCCCCCGAAATGACCTCTGGTTGCAACTACCTCAGGTCCTCCCAGCCTCCCCCAACTTTCAACTGTGCAGGAAGAAACAAAAAAAGCTATTTCCTCACATTCTTTTTTTAGCCCTAGCAGTGCTGAGCCTCCAAGGGGCATGAAAGAGTTGTTGCCCTGCTCCCTTCAGGAAATGGAAGACAGGACCTAGCAGCTCCTGTTGTAGGGACCTCTACACCAACCGGGATGGAAAAATACCTAGAGAAAGTAGGAGAGGGCACTTTGCTCTTTCTACTACAGCTACAAGGCATTTCTCCCAAAAGGAAGAGATAAGATCAGCGTTGTCAATTGGGGAGGACCCATCTTTGCTAATCCTCTGGTTCCAGCACTGAATATGAACCTTGCCTCTACCATACAGTGAAACCTTCACAGGCCAGCAAAGCTATCAGAACTCTGTGCATGTAGCCAACTAGCACCGTTTTCTCGTCTGAACATACAAAGTAGGTTTTATTTGATGTTAAATGTTGCAAGATGAGGAGCAAGCTTCAGTTCCCAGTTCCAGAAATATTTGTTTTCATTGATCCATGTGTTTAACCACTACACTGTGATTAGGTTTCTAGCAGATTACTTAAACTCAACCCATTACCCTGGGAAGGATAACCAACAATCTACACATAAGCCATAACGAAGGACACTGAAAATTATGGCAAAATTTTATTAGCATCATCACAGGAATTTTAAAAGGGAAAAAAGGCAGAATTAGAAGTTTACAAAGTAGAGGGGGAGGAGAGAGAAAACATTTGTCAACCCACAAGAGAACCTCCCCCACATGCCCTTCCCGGAACAGTTGTAGTTTTGAGACCCCTTTCATTCTGATATCTTACAAGAGTTAAATAGAGAACAAAGGCCTACAGAGGCAAAAGTTTATGGAGTGCAGCAAAGAATTTTTCTCCAGGGAAAACAATGGCACATCTTCCTCTGATACTCAGCTGCCACTCCACGAGGCTCCAATACTATAGATAAAATGTCCCAGACTTCCAAAAATGTCAATTCACACAAACCAATACAGCCTGAACAATCCAATGCCTGCAAACAATGCAGAGTTACTCCCTAGGGTGAAGACAGAACACGTATCTTAAGTGGTGAGGCCACTCACAAGAGAAATTGGTTCTTCCAGTTTCCAGTGAAAACTTGCTATACAGTGTTGATTGGCTGGTCCTTGTGACAATCACAAAGCCACTCTCCTATTCCCCAGAGCAATGTTTCATGTTTTTTGGTGTCAAATGGATCGCTAAGCCAGGCATTTGGGAAAGAAAAGGCTGAGATCTTGCCAGATGTCTGATGAGGAGGGAAGGGAAAATGCGCTGGCATCTGAACCAGGTAAGTTTGTTAGTAGACATGATGGGGAAGGGGAAAGCAGAGCTTACCCTGCAGCAGAAAAGCATGATCAGCACTTGGGAGAAGATGGGGTAGATTATGGGGTTGGTCCTACCCCTACCCTACCCCTGCACTCAGCAAAGTTTTTTATTAAAACATCTTTACCCCATCCCTGACCTGGATAGCCCAGGCTAGCCCGATCTTGTCAGATCTTGGAAGCTAAGTGGGGTCGGCCCTGGCTAGTATTTGGAAGGGTGACCTCCAAGGAATACCAGGGGTGTGATGCAGAGGCAGGAAAGGGCAAAGCCACCTCTGAAAAACCTCTTGCCTAAAAACAAAGTCTAGCTCGCCACCAAGTGGTGCATAATGCTAAAAGAGCTAGAACTTCTACCTGCCAGACAATCTTAGGATCTCCTAGCTATGCTACACACACTGCTACAGGGTTAATTATTACCCCATCTTTTCTTTGGTTCGTGTCTGATGCCTTCCTCCAATCTAAGGAAACTTCTTCCAAATCAAGTGGCTCTTCCACTAGAGGAAGAGCCACTTAAAGTGGAAGAAGGCTCCTTAGGCTAGAGGCAGGGTACCTGGAGGATGGGTGGATCCACCTGGATACGTCTGCCTTCACCCTTCATTCTAAACTTCATCTGACCGACCCAATAGATTGTTCTCAGAACTGCTCAATATCTGGCAGTCTTTTTGCAGGCTGCTGTGTGGCTTCATTCCCCATCCCATGTGGAAATGCAACTGGGTACAGAAAGCTTACACAGGCTGGTTAAAAAGCAGTCACATACAAAATTAAGTGACTCGGTCTTCTTGTTATAGATATAAACTCCTCCTCCTCAATTTGGTGCTCAGTTTGTAAAACTTAAGCCTGACTAATTGTGCCCCACAATCAGAGGTGAAGGGAGCACACTTGGTTTAGATACCTGCCCTCTGAAGACAGAGAGCCCTCAGACACTAACACGCGAGTGGTCAGCCACCAGTAGAAGCTGACAGGAAGCTCCAGTGGCACAGGAAGAGGGTACATGTGCCACTCCTGGATTAGAACAGAAGGACCTTCAGGACTGACTGTAGCATAGGTCCAGGCCAGTCCTCCTGTTACTTTCTCCCTCTCTACTTGCTTCTTTGCATGCTCAGTAGCAACAAAAGTACACCAAGGCACCAATGTGCATGCATATACACACACACATACTTCAATGCACACTAGAGTTGAAGTCTCTTAGACTTTGGACATGAGATATGGCACATTTGTCCAAAAAAGGCTGGCCGCCACCACAACGGTAGCATTATATGGCGTGCTGATATCCAGGGCCTAATATTAGCCGCTGACTGAGATGATAAAACTCGACCCCACATGGGTTAGCTTGGAGCTCTTTCTCCCTATCAAAGGAAATTCAGACTCACCTAAAATTCCAGATCTCTAGCTTTGAGAGAAAGGCAAGTAATTCCAAATACAGCAGTTTACAGGTCATTTTTTTAAAAAGTCATTTCCAGTTGAGCTCTGATCGATACAAAAGCTACTTAATAAGCAAACAAAAAACCCCAACCCATCTCTCTTTCACACATGCACCCAAACGCACACACCACTTGCACATCCTTTTCCCGCCCCCCCCAGTTATTTTACAAAAGACAATAGTTCTGTTAATAGTTGTGTTTAACAAAAGCACTGAGGCTATAAGATGCAGGAACCAACGCACCTGGGGCCCCGCCCAGAACAATCAGGTATGAAAGGCATCAGTTGAAAATCATTTTTTTAAAAAAAACCTAGATTTCCATACGAGACATTTAAAAGTTGTTCTGTTACAAATTCAATACTCAGTGTAGAAATCAACGTTCCCCCACTCGGATCCAGCCCACCCACCCCCCCAAACACACAGTATTCGGTTTAATAGCAAAAAGTCAGTCATCTCTCACACAAACCACTGCAGAGAGGGAGAACTGGAGGATTCATTAGACTAGTAAGTCAACAGATAAAAGAATTATTGCTCAGAGGTTCTCCTCGAAAGGGCGTGTTAAACAAGAGCAAGAGAGACACTTGTTTAATAAGGACAGAGAAAGGGCAAAAGCTAATGCTGATATCACTTAAGTTTCTCTTGCCTTCTGGGGGAAATCAGGAAATGGGTTGCATCTTAGCACTCTCCAGGAAAGCCGGGATGACCTGCTTATCTGGATTTTCTTGTACAATAGTTATATTATTGTTTTACGCCCACTAAAAGCCCCCGGAATTGGAGAATGTCTGGGAATGGGTGCTAGCCATAGTGGAGAACTTAGCGTCCCAGAAAAGAAAGATGTCCCCATTTCAGTAAGATGAATACACAGAATCAATACTTCCTGTGTACATATATGGTGGTGGAATACCTGGTGTCCCTCTCAACACTTCAAACCCAGAGGCAAAGGCTGGAAAACGCTGTTCCCTCTAAGCTGTGCACGTGAGCGGCCGCTCATTGACACAGGAGGCCCTGCTCAGCAACCATCTGGAGCCACGCAGGGTCATGCACTGCCCATTGCCCATTTTGAGATTACAGCAGTCATCTTCTGCTCAGGATGTGAACTGCTCCACTCAGTAGGGGGGGGGGGATCAGAGGGAACACTGCTGGAAAGAGGGTCTAATGCATGCCTCCTCCATTGAAACCATCACAGAGAACCCTGCACAGATCAGCACCTACAAATACACCCCTCATAGGACATCACTGGAAAGTGGGATCTCAGCTCGCCCAATTCTCCCATGCATTCTTGGGAGAGAAGAATTCACACCTCCTGTCTCCAAGCTGAATCCACTTTGTGCGGTTGTCTGAATCCTCACTATCAGGAACACACAATGCAACCAGCGCCAGGCTTATCTTTCAAAACCCTCCCACATGAATCCCCTTGGCTTGGCTCAGCTGTCAATCTGCGGCGTCACCAGTAGCCCTCGGCATTCCCATGCTAAAAATACAGCTTTGAACTGAATAGAGTATTGTGCATCTCTCCCCTGGATTCCTCCTCTTTCCAGAGCAGTAGGTAAGCATCCCAGTCCAATTTCATCCCACCTTTCACATACACACACTCACACACACACACACCACACACCCTTTTCCTCTTCTCCTCTTTCAGCCCACCAAGGCCACTGGTGGCTGAATCGTGGCCACGTCCAAAGAGCTGGGTCCTTCCTGGCAGGACAGCAAAGCAACGCCGACTTCGGCCCTCAACAGAAGAGTTTCAGGAAGCAGTTCTGACAGTAGGGCTTGTCGTTCTGCTCCTTGAAGGTTCCTTTGTTGAGCTGCTTGAGGCAGAAGGCACAGACGAAGTGTTCCGGGTGGAATTTCTTGGCCATCGCAGTGATGCAACGCCCTGTGATGGGCTTCTGGCAGCCGGAGCACAGTGAGCCACGGCGCTCGTGGTAATGCACCTCGCAGTAAGGCTGCCCGTCGTGTTCAAAGAAGCTGCCGTTGACGAAGGGAGTGAAACATTCCTGTCGGGGAGGAGAAGCAAAAGCCTCATCAGTAAATTAAGGGGGAAAGCACAGCACTAGTCACAACGAGAGGCTCCATTCTATGGAACATCAAGAACAATTTGTTCCCCGCCCCCTAGAGACACACATGATCAGGTTTTTATACCCTGCTTCTCTCTGCCCTAAGGAATCGCAAAGCGACTTACAATCACATTCCCTTCCTCTCCCCACAACAGGCACCCTGTGAAGTAGGTGGGGCTGAGCGAGCTCTGAGAGAGCTGTGACTGGCCCAAGGTCACCCAGCAGGGTTCATGCGGAGGAGGAGTGGGGAATCAAAGCCAGTTCTATAGAGTCTGCCAGTCTTAACCACTACATCGTGCTGGCTCCCTCACTGCTGCCCATTTCGAATACCTGCTTGACAGGCAGAAGGGAGGGGGAAGGAGATACCTGGACCACCTCCATCGCTGCTTTTCCAACCCCTCTTTTTAAAAACAATTGAAACTGTCAGAGCCGACAGCACAGACCATGTGATTAGTGGTGATTAGTGGTACATGCCCACTGCTTGCAAACAGGAGAGGTGTTTCTCCCCTCTCTCCATCCAGCAACTGTTTTTGCTGGTGGCGAAGCCAATACATACGCAGAAGCTAGTCTTCACTGCACAAGGACTGGCACGGGAGGGCCCAGCATAGGCTTTCAATACTTCCAAGGGGGTAAAAGCATTTCCTAAATGGTACCACTCCAAGCTGCAGGCGGAGGGCTGCATGTTCCAAATGCTTCGGGGAGGGGGGGGGGGCTCCTGCATAGAAAAATACCGCATCTCAGAGAAACATGAGGTTCTGCTTGGGAGCACCACAGCTGGGGATTTCTCAGAAGATCTGCAGTCCTAACTGGATGTCTTAAGTGCTGGTGTGTGTGTGTGTGCGCGCGCGCGTGTGTAAGGCCACACTGCCAAAACTGGCATCGTGCAGTGCAGAGAGTGTCAAACTAGGATCCTGGGAGACTCAGGTTCAAATGCCTGCTTCTGCCATGGAAGTTCACTGGGTGACCTTGGGCCAGTCACAAACTTTCAGCTTAGCCTACCTCAAAGGGTTGTTGTGCAACATTAGAGCAACGTTCTAAGACTCTTTTGAGTCCCAAATGGGGAGAAAAGTGGGTTATAAATAAATAAATGCCTTGTCAAAATGCAACTTGATGTGCACCTCTCCTATTTGCCCCTGTGTGTGTATTGGGGGGGGGGGAGCTTTAGAAACAGAAGGAAGGGAGGCAGAAAGCAGCCAAAACAATACAAAGGGAAATCTTTTCCCCAGGAGTACTGAACAATACATGAGAGAAAATCAGCTTGGAGGCTGAAGGAGCGCATGTCTAAAAGAGGAAGGCAGGAATTCTGACACCAGCAGGAGCAGCTGCAACAACCTTCTTAGACACCTGTCTTCCAAGTAACCCACCCAGTAACCCTCCCAAATATTCCAGAACTGTCTGCTGAAAAGAGAGCCTTCTCACTCCTAAGTATTTATTTCTTTTATTTCCAGTCCACCTTTATCACTGAAACTCAAGGCGGGGGTTACAGAATAAAGGCAAGGCACTCCTATAGTATAAAACATCCAACAAACAATGCACTTATTCACCGCATTAGAAGAATGTGCAAACTCTGAGAGAGTTAGTGGAGTTGGGGGGGAAGCATTGCGGGAAGCCAGAGAGGGGAAGGGAGGAAACGGGAATGGGGTAAACAATGGAAAAGTGTAAATGATTGAATGTCAAATGTCGAATTCCTATGAAAAATAAAACTTTGTTTACCAAGAAGAATGTGCAAACGACAAACTGCCTATGGCAAGGTATACTATAAGCAATGTAGTCAGTGGGGTTAGAGAGGCAGGAGACAACACAGTGAAAACAGGATCATAAATAGAACAATCATTCTAGTATACTATAATCCTATTCCGTTATAGGAACATCCTCTTGGACTGGTCTAATCTGCTCCAGTTCTAATCCCTTCATAAAAATCCCCTTCTGAACATCATTGTTTTGCACGTTCTTTAAAAGGACAGAAGTAATTTTAAAGAAAAGAAGGCTAATGGTATCTATCTGAAAGTTTTCCAAGACAAGTTAAATTTCTGCAAACTTTGGGGTGTTTCAGAAGCTAACCATATTTCTTCCGTACAGTTAATTGTACATACGGGGATGCAGCCGTCCTTCTGCCCCACCTTCTCCTCTGTCATACCAATGGCCACCTTGGGGATAAATAGTTCCAAAGGAAGGAAAGGAAGGGGGAAATCTGAGGTGCACTTACCCGGCAGACAAAACACTCCGGGTGCCAAAGGGTATTCAAGGCAGAGATGTAATTTTCCAGGATAGCCCGAGCACAACCGCCACACTTTGGGGCAAACATGTCGAAGTAATCCTTGCGACAGTAGGCCTTACCATCCTTCTCATGAAAGCCTGCCATGGGAGAAAGAGTCAAAACATGACCTTTGTACTTGTACAAAATAATAAGCTAATTTTGCAAATCATGATAACTTAGCATTAAAAATTCCGCAAAGATACTACCCAATGACCCATCTTGAAACTTCTTGGTGCAGTGCTGGATTTGCTCTGGGCTCACACTGATCTAACATCCTAAAAGGGCAGGAACTGGTATAAATCCTCTCAAAAACCTTTAACAAAGGATCACAAAGGAAAAAGTGCTTCTTGGAGGCTCTCCCTTTGAAGACACACATTGCATTATTCAAGAGAAAACTTGGGGAGGGGTGTTCATGAGGGAACACATCCAATCTGTGCTGAGGTCACTGCACTGCCTGGCAATAGAGTTCCGGATACGCTTCAAGGTGCTGGTTTTGACCTTTAAAGCCCTTAATGGTCTGGGGCCTGTCTACCTTAGGGACCGGACCGCCTTTCTCCATTAGAACGGATAAAAGGAAGTACTTCTTCACCCAAAGAATGATTAACACATGGAATTCACTGCCATAGGAAGTGGTGGTGGCTACAAGCATGGACGGCTTCAAAAGGGAATTAGATAAGCATATGGAGCAGAGGTCCATCAGTGGCTATTAGCCACAAGATATAGATAGGGGCTCTGGGGCAAGTGATGCTCTGTCTTCTTGGTGCTTGGGGGGGTCAACAGTGGGAGGGCTTCTAATGTCCTGGCCCCACTGGTGGACCTCCTGATGGCACCTGGTATTTCTGGCCACTGTGTGATACAGAGTGTTGGACTGGATGGGCCTTTGGCCTGATCCAACACTGGCGTCTCTCTTATGTTCTTATGTATGTTCTCCCGAGGGCACTGAGATCTGGAACATAAAATCGCTTGGTCCCCCCTGGCCCTAGGGATGCTAAGTTAATAACAACAGGAACCAGGGCATTCTCCCTAGCTGCACCGATGCTATGGAACCAGCTCCCAAATGAAATTCGAGCTCTGCGGGATCTTCAACAATTCCGTAGAGCGGTGAAGACCGAGCTGTTCCGACAAGCGTTCTAACAGCCCTGGCCACACTGACCATCCCACATAAGCACTAGCACTTTATAACAGATGGCCGCCACATTCTTATTTTAATAAGTTGTATTTATTGTATTGCTTTGTATTGTTTTAGATGTGACAATCGGTATTAATTGTATACTGGTTTTAACCACTGTAAGCTGCCCTGAGCCGCCTTGGCGGGAGGGTGGGGTAGAAGTCTAACAAATAAATAAATAAATAAGCTGCAGCACATTCATTGACATGAAATAGGGCCAAGGACCTTTGGGGGAGCCTAAGAGAACACATTCCACTGTCACAGTCAGGGTTTAGCCAATAGTCAGATTTAGATTAGAAACACATTAGTGATTCCTGAAGAGGCCTTGCTGATTTTGCACCATTTGGATCATTTAAAGTGGTCCAGATACTGTGGCATGAGCCCTATTTCTGCTATTTGTCACGATACAAACAGGGGTGAACTGAAGCGTTGACTTTGCATGCCAAATTGCCATGAGAAGGACTAAAACTTGGATTTTTGATTTCTTACATCACAGCAATCCATGTGATGTATATTTCAAATATCAGTAGGTCCCTGTTCATGGAAATATCAAGCACACATATGAAGCTGCTCTGTACTGAGCAATACCATTGACCTACCTAGGTCAGTACTCTTTACTTAGATGGGCAGCTGCTCTCCAAGGTCTAGGCTGGAGAAAGGTCTTTCCCAGAACCTCCACCTGGAGATGCCGAGGAGCGAACCTGGGGTGCTCAGCATGAAAAGCAGGGGCTTCAGCTCTGAGCCACAGCTTTTTCATGGCATTTCTGAACTGAGAGAAAATTTGGAGCAAAGGCTTGGGTCAAATCTTTGGTCCCAGCTGATTAATTACCCTGCATTACAGCAGAAGGATTGCATTGGGTGTCCTTCTCATTGCATGACCAACAATGCACAAGAGACTGTGAGAGGCAGTTAGCCCTGCACCTGAAGCAGCCTGATCTCTCCAAGTGCAAAAAACTGGCGCTGGGGGGAGGTCACCACAGAGTTGCAGATTTTGGTAGTTAGCAAAATTATCTCTGGGCTATGCAAGTTGAATTCCAGGGATGCTGTGCATCTGTGTATGTTAAATGACATCCAGTCACGTCTGACTTTTAGCGATCCTGGGAATAAATTACCTCCAAAACATCCTATCGTCAACAGCCTTGTCCAGGTCTTGCAAACAAAGGCTGTGGCTTCTTTTATTGAGTCAATCCATCTCTTGTTGGGTCTTCCTCTTTTTCCGCTGCCTTCAAATCTGCCTAGCTGTATTGTCTTTTCCAGGGACTCTTGTCTTCTCATAATGTGACCAAAGCTTAATGGTCTCAATTTGGTCATTCTAGCTTCTAGGAAAAATTCAGGCTTGGTTTGATCTAGAACCCACTGTCAAGCTGATCTCTCTGTGACCCTTTTTTCACACAGCACCTTTGGCTCCTGAAAATAGGCCTAAACGACCATATGCAATCTTACTGCCATACACAGTTTTCCTGCAGTGACACTGAGAATTAGTGTAGCATGGGGGCTAGGAGAGACGGCATTATGGATTAGAAAGTCCCCAGTTCAAATCTCACTTCTACCACTGAACCTACTAGGTAGATTTAGGAAAGCCATTCTTTCCTTTGGCACCCCATCTCCACTACGGGCATACTAATGCTTGTAATACTCACAAGGTGTTATAAAAATTACAAGGTAACCTTGGGGACCCTAAACAAGGTGGAAAGGCAGCGTACAAATGTTTTAAGTTGAATAAAAACATATTCTTTATATGTATTTTTGTGTGTACATGCATGGGATATTCTCCGAACTCTGACTACGCGTATGGGAAGTTCTTTGAACCCCCAGTACCATTCTGTAACTACTAGATGTTCCACTATTAAGGCTACCCAAATGGGCCATAGACTGAAATGGTCCAGGCTAGCCTGATATTGTCCAATTCAGAAGCTAAGCAGGGTCAGCCCTGGTTAGCACTTGGATGGGAGGCCACTAGGGAAGTCCAAATTCACTACACCGAGGCAGACAATGGCCAACCACCTCTGAGCATCTCTTGCCTTGAAACCCCCCAAAAGGAGTCGGCTGTGACTTGACGGCACTTTACATACAAAAATGGGCCACAACACAAAGCGATGACTTGCATTGTGAAAAGGTGACCATCAGACACTGAATTTTACTATCTTCTCATCATACCTGAAATGCAATACTTGGAGGCAGTTTCAAAGGATAGCTGTGTTGGTCTGAAGTAGGGGGGACATGATTGCTCTCTTTAGGTATTTGAAGGGCTGTCACTTAGAGGAGGGCAGGGAGCTGTTCCTGTTGGCAGCAGAGGAGAGGACTCGCAATCATGGGTTTAAATTAAGGGTGGGAAGGTACTGGCTGGATATTAGGGAAAACGTTTTGACAGTAAGAGTTGTGCAACAGTGGAATCAGCTGCCTAGGGAGGTGGTGAGCTCCCCCTCACTGGCAGTCTTTAAGCAGCGGCTGGACAAACACTAGTCAGGGATGATCTAGGCCACTGGTGGCGAACCTATGGCACGGGTGCCAGAGGTGGCACTCAGAGCCCTCTTTGCGGGCACGCGTGCCATCGCCCCAGCCAGGCCCAGACCATCATTAAAGTGTCGAATTCTCTGCCAAATAATTTTAAGTAAATGAAAGCATTTGGGATTGCTTTCCTTACTTTGTTTGGATCATCTTAAGTTAATGTATGAGTTGTTTTTTTCTAAAGTAAAACCTCAGTATTCAGGTTAAATTGCCGCGTTGGCACTTCGCGATAAATAAGTGGATTTTGGGTCGCAGCTTGGGCACTCAGTCTCTAAAAGGTTCGCCATCACTGCCCTAGGCTGATCCTGCATTGAGTAGGGGGCTGGACTACATGTATGGCCCCTTCCAACTCGATGATTCTATGGTTCTATGAATTCAACTAATCTAGAAGAGCTAGATTTGTGTCCAGTAGCAACTAAGAGACCAACAAGAGTTTTGGGGTATCTGTTGGAAGCAGCTTTGACCCTCAAAAGCTCATTCCCCCCAAATCGCGTTGGTCTCTAAGGTGCTACTGGACTCACATCTGGCTATTCTGCTCGAAGGCAATTTAACACATTTGGCTGTGTGCTCCTCTGTTCTAAGCCATCGAGTAATGAGCCTATGATTCGTCAGTCAGCCTCAACAGCCATACCTTCAGGGCCAAAGAATGCTCCACACTGTGCACAGAAGAAGTGTTCCGGGTGCCATGTCCGATCCAGCGCAGTCACCACTTTCTGATAGGAAGAAACCAGAAGCATTAAGCATGTGGCCAAAATTAAAGTAGCGCAGCAGTCAGGGTGGTGAACTAGGATCTGAGAGACCCAGGTTCAAATCCCAACTCTGTCCATGAAGCTTTCTGGATGACTGCGGGCCAGTCACCTCCACTCAGTCTAAACAACCCTGTGAAGGAAGTGTGAGGATAACATGGAGGAAGGGAGAATGATGTACGCTGCTCAGAGCTCCTGGGGGAGGGGGAGGCCAGGCAAAAAACATACTAACTAAATAAAACAGACA